CTATCATATCTGATTTAGTTGGTTCGAAAATATAGATTCTGAAAGAAATTATGGCAGGGCCCGCGAAGGTCCGGCAAAGGCCCGGATTACAAGAGTGTTTTTTTACCTAGAGTGTTTTTTCTCTGAATTTATAGGCTTAGACTGAAACGCCTAGTTCCCCTTATCGCCAGAAAAAAATGTTATAGCCTAAGCCTACAACACAAATCCAAAAACTGAGAGTTCTGGAAAAAAAAACTTCAGACAAAAATGTACTGACATTGAGATTCCTAAATATCAGCAGAAGAGATTTTTCCTGTTTTTTTTACTACTGAAATTTTCAATTATCAGCGAAATTCTCAATTTTTTCGCTGAAACGTTTTTCTCAATTTTCCCAATAAGCCTGGTTGGGACCGTCCTCGGAAAGTTGTGACCGTTGTCAGAACGTTGGGGCCGTTGTCGTTGGGACCGGCGGTCCTGCTTTGGGATAGCTTGTCCCGGAAAGAGCCGAAAATTTTTGGAGCTCTCACTCTGGAATAAAACCGTGAAAATTTTGGTTTGATGATAAAATTCGCAGAACTTGCATTCATATTCGACGGACTGATTTCGTTGGTACTGGATCGCATGTACCGGAGATAGATTTTATATTGAGTGCAATGAAATATGTGGAAGACCGAGGTTTTCCATAATGCAACAGGTTCTTTATGATTTTTTTTCTTTTTTTTAGAGAAACGAAAAGGTATGAGAATGTTGACTGTGTTTTTCGGAGATGATATCAGCTATTTGGAGAGTTTACAAAACGAAACTTTTGTCTTGAAGACAAATAGAGTAAAGGTAATACATATTGCCCCGATACTTCAGATTCTAAGAAATTAAATTGCAGAACCTTAAAACCGAATCTTTCATTTCCAAAGACTCTCCGTCGGACAGTCTCCTATTTTCAAGGCATCACTGTGATGTTGTTATGTTTACAGGTTTTGTAGCATCGAAATTTTTTTCAGCATAAAAGCAACAAATAAAATCATTTCAGCTCCTCACTCAACATTCGGTTGGTGGATGGGATATTTTTCGAAGGGGAATCAAGTCTATTACACTGACATCAGATACACAAATGATACGGCAATAGTGAGGCATTTTAAAAAGAGATTCAACCTAAATTTGAATAATTCCAGCCGCAAGGAGTACTTATTCAGGATGATTACTTTCCCCCACACTGGATTCCTGTCAGATATAACAGTCGGGATAATGCTACTGTTCATGAAACTTTATGAAATAATTTGTAATTTAAATAATAAAATCTTGCTTAGATAAAGTTCTGAACTAGACATACGAAAATTTGAAAGAGTTCAGGTCTAGAAAAGTCCCAAATTCTTCAGCACATTGAACCGAAAACATTTTTCTCCCGAAGCGTGTTCTCTGAAATAAAGAATATTAAAATATACTATTATACAATCCTCAAAATAAGTCATTGAGTTATGTAGCTTGTGTTTGTTTGATATGAAGATTTTACCGATTTTCCAGATGATCAATAGATCACATCGGAACATTTGAAAAAACAATGAATTGAACCCGTTTATTACTTTGAATTTTATTCGAAAGAGTGCGAAAAGCAATATCATGATAGAAAAATTCCTCTGACAAATGAATCGAATTTGGAAATATCGAACAGTGAAGAAAGCTTTGTTTGATTGTAGAAACATTTCACAGCACATCGAATCGACCTCATCAAAAGGACAATCTCTCCAAAACGTTCCACTCCGATTCTCGGTGATTTTTTGACACAATGTGCCATCAAAACAGACATACACTTTGATACTACTTTTTGTGAACCTTCTAGTTGCACTTCTCCTGGATATGAAGCTGAAATTGAAGCTAAGAAATATATATCCTTTCTAGATTTTTTAAAACTAACGTGTCAGCAATAACAGTGTTTTTAATATGACACATTCGAATCTATCGATTTGAAGACTTGAAAATGGATCGCTAATTCGCTTCAATAATCCACTTACAAACTCAAAATGATTTCTGAATTAAAATTTAGAATTATTCTTTAATTCAGACAAACCTCGCATGCACTTTATTATTTTCCAATTGTGCATCTTTCGGTGAAATATTCAAAAAATAATCCGGATGTAAAAAACTGTCATTTTGAAGTAACCAGAACCTTTTGTCAGCCATCATAGCGGTTTTGGATGCTTGATCCACTAATATATATGCAATACCGAACTCCGACAGTACCAATTTTTTCTCGTGGATTTTGAAGGTCCAAAACGATTCAAACTGATTTGCCCATTCCATTGCATTTTGTAAACCAATTTTCAGAACCAATTCTATATCGTAAGAACTCGCTCGACGGTATAATTTTTGTTTGATCTGAAATTTCAATAAAGCAATAATTGAAGAAATTGTTTGTTGCCTACCATGATCAATGTTTCCGAAACATTCAATTTCGGCTTACAATATCGTTTGTGAAGATTTCTTTGTTTCTTCTGTAGCACCAATAAAGAGGTTAGGTCTCTATCGGTCTTCAGAGAACATGAATCCATTTGTGTTTGTTTTGGTCTTCGAGGACCAAGTTTATCACGGAGTCTGATAGCTGAAAAAGGGAAAACAATAACAGGTTGCGTAGTTTTCGAAAAAATACCGTCAGGATTCATACCAGCAATTAAACATCTTTGGAGTCGACAACTTCGACAAATGAACTTAAGATCTATAAAATATTATAAGGCAAGATGAATTCAGAATAAACATACCCCGAATATTTTTATACAAACAGTCCTTTTCGCACTTTCCCAGTTTGTCATCTTGAACGGCCCTCCGAAAGAATACAATGCATCCCAAGCAGGTGATGGGACCATATCTTCGTCCATTCGGTAGTCCCCCACATACAGCACAAATATCTGGTGAAGAGGGAGACACAGACATCAGGCTGAAATTTGGGAAATTGATAAAAAAAAACATATTTAATGAAGTGTGAAGATAATTCCCGAATAGTTATAAACAACATCACTTTTCGAAATTGAATGCTGTAAGCAAAATAACAATTGGATTACTAGTTGAACACATTTCCGATAATCTTTGTTTGACGGTCGCCTAGTTTTCGTATTTCGGCTGTTTCTCAGATAAAATCTTTCCTCCCGGGAATGCATTTCATTAGAAAGTAGACCATATTTACTGTTTGATCGAACGATGGAAAAATTAATGAATAAATGACCAAAAAAGGCTCTAAAATTCTTGTTCATAATTGTTGGTCGCAAGCTTAAAAACCATACTTGTAACGGGCCGGGCCGGGCCTGTCATTCCACAAGTTTTAAAAATTTCAAAAATCCTTATGTGTTATTCATTAATTTTTCCATCGTTCGATCAAACAGTAAATATGGTCTACTTTCTAATGAAATGCATTCCCGGGAGGAAAGATTTTATCTGAGAAACAGCCGAAACACGAAAACTAGGCGACCGTCAAACAAAGATTATCGGAAATGTGTTCAACTAGTAATCCAATTGTTATTTTGCTTACAGCATTCAATTTCGAAAAGTGATGTTGTTTATAACTATTCGGGAATTATCTTCACACAAGCAGCGCGACTACAGCGGAAGGACAAAATTCGTTTCTTAATCTTTTTTCTTTTGTTTTTCATTCTTTTTTTGTGTAATAAAGTAATTTTGAGCAGCAGCAAGATTCCAATTTCGAAAAAATATGGGCCAATTATTGCTCTCGCGGCAAGCCAATTGTAGGAGATTTGATCGCGATAGGCGGAATATTGGTCATTTGCGGTGGCGCTTTCGCGATTGGTCTGTAAATGGCCTGCGGCAGGCATGTTCCGATGTACCCATGGCGATTTTCGGCGAACAATATTTCACCTATTATAGACGCTGCGCGAATCACCTGTGAGGAGATGGGGTATGCTGGTTCGATCCCCTCCTGGGATCGAACCAGTTAATTTTGTTTTTTTTTTGGTTTTGTAGTGTTACAACAGCCAGAATCCAGTATGTTTTCTTTTTTAACAACTTCAAGAATGTAGAGACAACATTTTTTCAAGTCATTGAAGGTAATGAAATGGAGCAGTGTTGTATTCGGGTATATATGGACTCTGGTTGAATTTGAATAAGTATAAAATTGAGAAGTGTATTAGGTTTTTGATGTTTCATAACATTTTTGAAAAATAACCTTTATTTTTCCAATTTAAATTTTATTAAAATTTTGAAAAAAACACAACAATTAAAAAATTCGCATCATTTCTCCTACTCAAACCATTGTCTATCTTCCATTTCAAAAATCTTTCATTTTTGTTTCAGATTTGGCTCCTCATAGCTTTTTTTAAATTCAAAATCAGCTGCAAAATGCTGCAAAACGAGTATAATCACGCTAGGATTTCTTCAAAAGAGAAGTGGAGCTTTGAAAACTACAGTAATCCAAAAATAAACAAATTTAACGTCGCATTGAAAATTGATGTTGTATTGATGCTTGAAAAATGAATACGTCTAAAAACTCTTGGTTCAAAAAATTCTTTGATTTCTGATTTACTAGAGAATTGTTTTTAGAAAAACTTTTGGAAATTGATTTTTGAATTTTTTTAATGAAATAAGACACAATTTTTTTTTTATTGTCTATAATTTTTTGTCACCCATTTTTGCAATTCCAAATTGCATTTGAACTAAGCGGGTGTAAACAAAAAAATATCGAATTTTATTCAAAAAGTTGGTGAACACAATAAAACTAAAACTGCCAGAAAATTAAAAAAAAAGGATTGAAAATCAAAACTGTTTTTTCGGACTTAGAAAAAAACTATTTTCTAAATCGATTTTTCTGGAACTTCCCAGAAATTCGTTTGATATTTTTGATCCAATGAATCTCTTTTAAATGGGAAAATTAAATAATCGAAAAAGTAAATTTTATGAAGAAGGTCCCGAATGTATGGATCCTCGCGTACTTGACGTTCGACTTCCAGACGATGGGATGATTTGTGTGTGGAATGAGTGGTCTCTCCACCTGAAAAATCGATAATTGATTTTTGAAATGTTTGCATTTAGATGGATATAAACATGCTTATAGTCCCGTCAAAGCTCGAAAAACAACATTTTGAACGTAAAATTTAAAAAAGAAACCTACTCATCATGTCATCATGAATCCTATCCACCAACGTTTCATTGAATCCTTGTCGTTTTAAAATACTTGTCAAATGCATAATCGAAGATTTCCTTTCCTCAAGATCCGACCCCATCTCTAGCAAATCCCATTTTTCCAGGTCTTTTTCAAAATTGCACATCCTAAAAAAATGTCCGTATTTCCAAATGTCCTGATGTCCTACCATGATAACGGTGCAAAGTGAAAAGTATACATATCAAATTCTTTTAATGGATGTCGATAGTCGGAAATATTTTTCAGTGTATTATACATTCGATCAACATAGCATTTCATACTTTTGTTACATTCACAATAATCTGTGCTGAAATGTATTTTTTTTTCAAAACTACAGTAATCCAATTTGAAGACGCACGTACTGAATACACTTGTCCAGGAATAAGGAAACGAATCGTTGGATTGGATCTCTTATAATTGCGAATCTTACTGTATCCGGATCATTCAAGAGTTCCTGACTCGGTTTTTTTCGAAATTTAGATTCGTGGAGGCATTCTCTGAAATTTCAACTGAGACTAGAAAACTTGAATTTGGCTCATTGAGATCTTCAAAATGAGTATAAACATGACTAGGTTTCCTGAAACTCGATTTTTAAGGTTGAAGGCGCATGGAACTTTCTGGATCTTTCGAAATGTTCAAAAGTAGGGAAGTAGGTCAAGATTATACTTGTTTCTAAGCTCTTCTCGCGCTGAATTCAAAAAGTCTTACCTTTCAGTAATCCATGTATCGTTTAAGCTATTGTGGTCTGCTATAAACCGGTGCTCGTCATACAGAAGACACATAATATTAAGGGTTAATTGAGACATGGATTTTGCAATTCCACAGCCGATTAATTTGTGGTCCTCAACCGTCTAAAAAATTTCATTTGGACTTTTATTAGCTTTAACTTTTTTTCAAACTACTGTAACATTTGAAATTCTTCATTTTTGGTTTCTGAATTTTTATCGATTCAATTTCACTGAACAAGAGCTTCGGAATGAGTATAATCATGGCCTACTTATTTAGTTTTAAATTTTCAAAAGAGTGATTCAAAAGTTACATAAAATATCGACTTTTGCACAGTCTATTCATGTTTATACTCATTTTGAAGCTCTCAACTTGGCAAATTTCAATTTTCCAGTTTTAAAACTCAATTCCCACTATGCAGCCCAAAAAAGAAGAGAAACTTACAAAGTAAGATGGATAATAGTTGATAAATGGTGGAATGAAGTCTTCTACTGAAAAAATTCAAATTTTCAGAATAAATCGAAATTTAGAACAAAAAACCAAACCTCCGGTGAAATTCACAATTTTGCCATCTAAATAAATCGTATATTCATTTTCAAAGTAGAAAAATTTATAAATTCCTAAACAAGCCGCAATCGTTAAACAAATCCAGCAATACTTGTAAATATCTATGCCCCTTTGTACTGTATCCACATCATCCAATCTCATATATACGGTAGCACTTTTTTCTGACGATTCCATGAGATTGAAATACAAAAAAAACGAAAGTCTCCGAAGGTTTTTGGCGGTTTTTATATGTCAAAAACTTTAGACGGGAGGCATAATTTTTATCTGATCTTTTTAAATGGAACAGATGAAAACCGGTCGGTGGTCTGGCGTTAGTTTCGTTAAACTTTTAGATGATTTAAAGGGTTTATATTTAAATTTTAGGTTTTTGAATTTTTCATGTTAGAAGCATCAACACGAATATAATTAGGAATTTATAAAGTCTAGGTTAAATGAGTTGAAAGTCACATTTTGTTTTTTTAAATGATATTAGATGGTTATGCTTATACTCATTTTAAATATTTTTTGCTTTATTATACGGGTTTTGGGCAAAATTAGAGTTGTTGCTGGATTGGAAGCTGTCCCAGGGATGTTCGGAATGACCTTTTTCGGAATTTCGGAATTTCGCAAAATTCCGATTTTAAAATTTCGGAATTTCGGAACCTCGGAATTTTCCGATTTTGAAAAATTCGGAATTTTGGAATTTTGGAATATTCCAATTTTAAAATTTTCGGAATTTCGGAAGATTCGGAATTTTTCAAAACTCGAATTTTACAGTAGAAATTTCGTTTTTCCATCGCAAAAACGCAAGAATCTTTTGAAAATTGACAGAAAGATTTCGACAGCGCAAAAAACTATCAAAATTAATTCTGTTCGAGGCCCGCAGGTAAATTTTTCCTGCCATACTGTAATCGAAAAAATTTTAATCCCGAAAAAAATGTTTCGGAAAAATTCCGGTCGGAACTTCATTCCGAAAAAATCTTCCGGAAATATTCCGACCGGAATTTCATTCCGAATTTTTTTCTCGGAATTTCATTCCGAAAATGGTCGGAATTTTCGGAATTTTCGGAATTCCGAATTCCGTTCCGAACATCCCTGAGCTGTCCTTTTAAATATCAATACTATATTTTTCAATCTTCATTAACGTTATATTTCCTAAACTTCCTGACCAACCTCGTGTTTTTGTGTTTCTCTTTCCGAATTCTAATCTCTAGTTGTTCCCGATTTTGAAAAAAAACCAGTTTGTAAATTCTGTTTCGAACAAACTTTAGAATCGAAAAGAAAGTAAAGAACGAAACTAATTAATAGAGAAAAGGGAATAGGGACCAATGAGATGGGTTTCTCTTATCACTCGGTATAAAAGGACTTGATCAAATTGTGATTCTAAATTTCAGAACGTGGAAATAAGCAAAGAGCTCGATTGCAGCGGAAACTTCGAAAAACATTCCCCGAAAAAAAATGATTACTGGACTCGTGAAGATTTTATCAAGTTGAAATTTTTTGAGATTCTGGCATTTTTGGAATTTCTGAACTTTCAGAGTTTTTTGAATTTTTGAAATTCGGAATGAAAAACTTTCCTTCTGAATGAAAAGCTTTCATAACATTATTTAAAGAATTGATTATCCTCTATATAACTAGCTTCAGAAAAAAAGTGGAATGCTCAATTATTTATTCTTGATGGACAAAAAAAGAGGTTCGTGGCGGCGGGCTTGGTTTTCCGGTTGGTTTTTTGGTTGTTGATGGTCCACGAGTTTGAGAAGAAACCAAGACAGCGCAAATGGCGAGAAGGGTGAACAGAAATTTGAAGAGGTTCATTCTGCTGATTTGGATCAGCTACACAGCTCTCCTGTTTTATACGGAAAGGCGACAAAGGAAAATGTTATTGAGAGCATTCAAAAAGGTGAAAAAGTAACAATTTTACACATTTGAATTGTTGGCTCTAGTTGGTTATCTTGGATTTTAAAGAAAATTTCGGATTTAAAAAAAATTTTGATTAAAAAAAAATTTTGGATTAAAAAAAACTTTTGGATTTGAAAAAAATTTTGGATTTAAAAAATTTTTGGATTAAAAAATTTTTTTTGGATTTTGAAGGACGCCAAAAATTTTTGGATTTTGAAAAACTCCAACCCTGATACCAGTAGTGCATCGGCTCGGCATAGTAGACGGAAACTGGCCAGGGGCAGCTCTGGAAAAAATCTTCTACCAGAAGAATCGGATATCGTTCGTCCACGTCGCCAGCAAGGAAGAAATCCAGAAAAAATTTTATTCTCAAAATTCTGAATTTCCAAATTACCTAGATTTTTTCAGGTTTCTCATACTGATCATTGGATTTTTATATCTTTCATCTTTATGCTCAAATTATTTAATTATCAATTTTATGTTTATTTGTATGAAAAATGATTTATCAGATGGATACACAAATCTCAATGGGGTAAGATTTTCAGATTAAGAATGTCTAGAAATTCCAAAAAAAAACAATTTCAGAGTGTCCACGGAATTTATGACTATGATTCCAATGAAAAAGCCTATATTTTATGGTCCGTAGCAATTGGAACATTTTTTCGAAAAATTAGGAGAAATTTGAAAAAAAAAATCAAAAATTTTCAGAATACCGTTCTTTATCTGTGGACTTGTCTCGTGTTGTACAACTGCTTTGATTCCGTTTTCCGCAAAAGCCAATTATTATTTTTTGATATTGCTCAGATTTATACAGGTGAGTCTGGAGATTAATTTCTAGAACTTTTTGCATTTCAAGTTCTCCCTTCTAATACAGGTTGTACACTACATTAACTATGAAGCTACCTGAGCCTGTCGCCGATTTACAGTTCATGACCTATACCATTAGAAAGCCCATGAAATTCTGATCTGGAATATGTTTTCTGTTTTTGCGAAACGGCGGTGAGCTCCGAGAAAATTAGGTCGGAAGAAAATTTTATCCAGCATTTTAGTACTGAAACCTATTGATTTTGTATTGAAAATCGGTGCGAGACGCGGGATATATTTTTCTTAATTTAAAGAGCCAAACATAGCTTGAAATCAACAGACAATTATCTTTCGGCCCATTTTTTTCGAAGCTCACTGCCGTTTCGCAATAACAGAAAACACGTTCCGAATCAGAATTTTATAGGCTTTCTGATGATGCGGGTTATGAAGTGTTACTCGGGGACATGCTCAGATAGTTCCCTAGTGAATACGGTTCTCTCAGGTTAGTTCTATCAGCAAGTACTGTCAGTTTCATGATATCATCTCATTTTTTGATTATCTGTTTCTTGAAGGCTTGAAGATGAAAAAAGCTTTAATTTTTTTTCTCAGAATCACACCACACGACAATTGCCTAATGCTCACAGTTTTTGCAACACTACAACTATTGCCAGATACTAATTTTATTGCCATGGTGTCTCGCGTAAACATGACGATCGTAATTTTCAACATAATTTTAAAATCTCAGAAAAATAAATATGCATTCAGATACCATTCAAAACCCCATCGTACCAAAAACGAAACGTTGTTGTGTGTATCTCTCCGTTGTACGTTACAGAGCAATGGCAAAACTTTCTACTTGTAGTGCACATTTATAAGAAGTAAATTTGAAATGTTATCCGTTTTCACCAAGTAATAGTTTTAAAATCTCAGATTTGGTGCTCACATGCATTTGTATTTTATCAGTGCGGTTACTTCATTTTTTGAATTAATGTGGGAATATCAAAAACACGTAGGTGCATACAGTACCGGACAGAAAAAATGCATATTATTCCAGGATTATCTAACCTTGGGACCGAATGATGTTTCCTTTTGTTCCAGGAGATATAGCAGATGCATACTCTCAAGTGGAATTTCAAAATTTGGCTGCAGCCCAAACGGACTGCCTTTTACAGTACAAGGCATCCAAGACTTTTATATATTTTTACAAAACTGTTTTTCAGGAATCCGCACAATATGTGGCGCTTTTCGAATTAAGCGACATTTTGATTCCCAAATTGGCACCGACATTCATAAAAGAATTTCAAATTCTTCTAGAAAGAAGTAAGGGAACAAAGGATGTTGCATACTTTGAATATCAGAAACATCACTATGAAGCTACGGTTTATAATCATACAATATTTCGAATTGAGGATATGATAAGAAGTTTAGTGAATATGGAAAAGGTGAGATAAGAAAAAACTATTAGAATAGATTTTTTGACTTTTTCATAAGTAATTTTAAAACTTCACAAAAATCACGAAAATGTCTGAAACTTACAGAATTTCGGCTTAAAAATATACATACAGTACCGGTCAATAAGAGCGTATTTTCAATAAAAGCGTATTTTTTGGCCTGTTTTTGTACTAAAAGGATTTCTTTCAGAAATCAGCAAATAGCTAAAAAACTAGGGATTTTCTAAAAATTCTTTGAGTTACCGTATTTCCTCTAATAGAAGCACATGGACTTATATTTTTTAACCTCTCTCTCAGGGTGCGCTTCTATTAGAGGTGGGCTTCAATTAGAGGGTGGGCTTCTATTTTTCAATGATTCATTTTCAAAAAAAATGTATTCAAAAAATCTGAAATTTGACATTTCGGAAGTAAAAAAATCTGGATTTTAGTGTTTTGGAAAATTTGAAATTTTCGTTCTGCAATTTCCAGCATCTCAAAATTCAAATTTCAGGAATTCTGTGATTCCGAAAAATAATTCTAAAGTACTAAAATCTGAAATTCCTAAATTCAGAAATTAAAAAGTTCAGAAATCGAGAAATTGTTGAGTTCTAAAACAACGTTCCAAAAATTCTGTAATTTCAAATCACCGCATTTTCTCAAATACAAGCCCATGGGTTTCTATTAGAGGTGGGCTTCAAATAGAGATGGGCTTCTATTAGAGGAAATATGGTAAGCCTGTTTCACACTCTCAAGAACTTTCAAAGTGATCCGACACTTGACAACCGAGCTCCAGACTCCTGAAAATGGTCAAAATGATCCAAAATAAAGCGAATACATATTTTTGTATATCTTGTTGACCGGTACTGTACATGAACGAAATTTTGAGAAAGATATTTTTATATCCTTCAAAAATCAAAAGTTTTGTTTACAAACGAAAATTTGGAATTCCATCAAAATTCATCTTTTAAGAAAACCCTTGGAAACATTGTAATAATCCCTGAAAAGCTGAATTACACTTGGATGGATCGCCCGTTCTCCCTACCCGGAGGTTTACGTTCAATAACTGTCGAAGACAATGAAATCATACATTTGGCAAATATTTCTTGGGTTTTAAGATTCGGAATTTTTATTTTTATTTCATAAAATCAATTTCAGAGTGAAGAGAATCCGCGAAACATTTCCAATCATACGGAATTTTCTAGAAGCCTGGAATTTCAGAACATATCTATTTCTGAAATAGAATCAAATATGAAATCAATGTTTGAAAATGAACGAATCGCTGAAATTTTACCAAATCTTCCAAATTTCTATTATTTTTACGATATGCTCAAAGAATGCTTCGAAGGTCGATATTATAGGATTTTGAGGAACAGGCGTAATCGACTGAAAAATGGAATTTGTCCTGGTCCTCAAATTTGTAGCTTCGTCCAAAATGATGCGGTGAAATGTGTTCATGTGAATGCGAAGCATTTTTATATGCATGAAATACGGCCGGTTACCTATTACTTTGCAACTAATTATTTTTACAGTGCTGATATTGGATGTTACCCTCATTAAATAAAACAGTTTGTAAATAGTGATGAATTTTTTTTCGAACAGTCTTGGTTCTATAATTTCTAAAACTTTTAAAATTTCGAGTCTCGTTCCAAGTGTTCCTCAATTCTTTTGAAAGCTGAACTTCCTAAATTCGCAGGCCTCCTAATTTTCAGAAAGGCACTGAACTGAGCACTGACACATCCGAGGATGACAAAAATACAGATAGCTAGTTTAATGATTTGAAATGTAATTTCTTTTAAATTGGAGTATATGAAAAGGTTTAAATTGGTCATATGACCAAATACGTTTCATTGGGTGATTGTTTCTGGCTTCTAGACAGAACAACCTCTCGTTGTTGTTATTGTCATTTTTACCGAAGAACGATTCAAAGTGTTCCGAAAACATACTCTTAAGAGCCAAACATTTCTATGGGTAAAAACAATTTTACTGGTAAAACAGCACTTTCGGCACAAAACAAAAAACAAACTGAAAAAAAATCAATATGTTTATTACCCCTGGAAACTTCGAAATCTTGGTCATTTTTTGTCGAATTTTCGATTTCAAACTGGAAATAATTTTCAGTTTCGGGCTTTTTTGATACATTTTCATAAGTATCTCAAAGAATTTTCATAATTTGTCGACTTTCCAAATTATCATTTTTCCAATTTTTCCTAATTTTAGAAAAGTGACCCAATATCTGAAACATAACAGTGTCTGTACAAAATCAAGGCCCTGACTGCGCTCCCAGTACCTAAATTAGCTTTTCAACATTAAAATCTGTATGTTCCATGAACGTTCTTTTTGAATAGTTTGAATTTTTGACAAATTGGGTCACTTTTACAAAAACACCCAAAAATCAAGAAAAATTGGAAAAAAAGATAATTTGGAAAGTCGACAAATTAAGAAAATTCTTTGAGATACTAATGAAAATGTATCAAAAAAGCCCGAAACTGAAAATTATTTTGAGTTTAAAAGCGAAAATTCGAAAAAAAATGACCAAGATTTCGAAATTTCCAGGGGTCCTAAAGATATTGACCGGCCAGAAACAGGTCTTTTTGGTGGTACTCTTATACGGAAAGCGTTAGAATAAAATTTGTCCCCTAGGGTTTCTTTCTATCCTGAATCGAATGACGTTTATAGAATTTTGATATCTCTTCCCGTTCTCCTGGAACCGCCAAAATCGAGGGGGGGGGGGGGGGGGGGAATGGGTCCTAAAGATTCTCAAATAAAAGTTTTATCAAAACTGCAAAACGTTGAACATAGAAGGCTTGAAAACAATGCTCAACGTTTATTCACATTAGTCATTTTACGGTCCTCGGGTTTTGAACCACCTGTCATCCCCTTACAATACCCGTAATCTTATAAAAAAGTTCCGAAGATGGGATCGGTGGTCCCGTTTTGGGACCTTTCTTCCCGGGAGAGCCGAAAAATTTCCTGTCCCCTCTCCTTTGAACCTTTTCCATCTCCCTTTTCTTCCTCCAATTTTTGTTTTCAATTTTCCGAAATTCGTATACATTTTTAGTGAATCACAGTGAAGCACGCGGCGAATATCCGCTAATTGCTCTAGGGAAAAGTTTTTCGAAAGTTTTCAAAATTTTCTATATCAAAACAACAACTCGTGATGCTAGAAAAGGAAAGTGTGAAAACAATTAGAAAGATCAGAAGAATCATTCTGAAACTTCAACAGATATGAATTTTTGAAAAATAAAAAAATTCAATTCTGAAAAATTAGTTTTGAAATTTCGAAATTTCGAAAAGTTTGAAAAAATCAGACAATCATTGAAATCAAACTTCAAAATCCAAAATATCAGGTCTTTCAAGAAGAAAACGTTTTTCCCGATTTTTTGATAAATCTAAAAATGTGAAAACTTTCTCAGCTTCCATGGCGCCGTTCTTCTGACAGTTTCGATAAGAAGCGCGGAAAAATGAGGAATGTTCTCGAAGAATCGAAAAAAGGTGACACTTAACAAGTTTTTGACATATTTTAACCACAAAAATGTCATCTAGACAATTTCTGATTTTATTGATAATATAAAAGTGCGAAATCTGAAGAAACGGCTGTTAGTTATGATATTTTTAATTTTCTAAAAAAGTTTTCTCGCTGATTTTCGATATTCTGAATTTTTAGAAACGCTATTGATTTACGATTATAATGTACTTTTCTTTGTTCCCTCATTGTCCTGTACCGACTCCAACGCACCTATCTGTCACATGTCAATCAAATTGTTTTAAAATTTGAGTGTCTTATTTTCCGACTAATACAAAACAAGCAATAATCTTCATTTCTGTAATTGACAATTTTTTGGTACCTGTCCGTCGGAAAGAGTTGTGCCATGTCGAATGAATTTGTACCAAGAAATTGTTGATTACAAAAATAAAACACTATTATACTCTGAAATTTTCAGAACGATTTCTCAAAAATTAGCCTGTTTTTTTCAGATGTACTTCAGTGCTCCGAAAAGTACATTGTCCTTAAAGTTCATTTTTTATTTTTTCCATGACATTCACAATTTCGTCAGTGACAAAAACTTCGAAAAAAAATTATCATTGATAAGACGGCTATCCGTCAGTTTTGTTCGCACTCGTATAGTTGAAATATAGCTGTTCTTGCGATCAAAAACCAATTGGAAAAGAGAGAGAGAGAGAGTGAGTGAGAGAGAGAGAGAGAGAGAGAGAGAGAGAGAGAGAGAGAGAGAGAGAGAGAGAGAGAGAGAGAGAGAGAGAGAAACGGGAGGAGGAGTGGCAAAAAGTGATAAGAGATAGAGTGATTGATAATCAGTTTCCATTCTTTCTATTATAGCATTATGTCTATGTTCGTCCTGCCATCCCCCTTCTGTCACTGGGCGTGTTAAAAAAAGCCGAAATTCTTAAATTCAGAAATTCCGAAATGCTGAAATACCTAAACAAAACTCCAACAACTGAAATTCTGAGATCCCAGGAATTAAAAAATCCGGAAATTGCTAGTAAGAAGGTTTTGAATTGCCGCCGAACCTAAAAAATTAGAACAAATTCAAATTTCTCAAATAGCAGAATTTTTTAATCATTTGACTTTTTTCACAGTTACCCCTCTAAAAGCATCATATTTTATTCTGAATAGCTTCTATCTGAATTATTTTTTTCTGCAGCAGAAAAAAGTGTTCAACTATACAAAAAGCACTTTTTTATTGGATTTTCTCCCCCTCTTCTCCCTTTTTCTTTCTCAAATTCGATTACGAACACTGAAAAGCGAGCTGCAGTGCATTAGGTCATTTTTTATGGGGCCTCTTCTTTTTCTTTTTCCATTTTCGGCCTTTTTTCGTTCTCCATGCCATCTGCTCATTTTCGTTTTATTCCTCTCCCATAAATCTACAAATTCGCGACGTTCCAATTTTCGTTTTTCCGACGAGTCGAAAACTAGGGGGAAAATTGGTGCTGAGCAATAGGGAGGACGAGCACGAAATGGAACAGTTGTCACTTTTTTGCTCTCTCTTTGAACCGTTTCGATTTATGAGATTTTGGGGGTCAGGTTGAGGAGAAAAGGAAAATGAAGAAAATTGAGAAACGGGATAAAAGATGGGATTTGGCGGGAAAGAAGATTTTGTGCTCTTTTAATTTCGAAATTCAGAAATCCGGGAATTCGGAAATTATATTTTTTTTGCGAATTTGAATTTTTCGTATGTTCCAATTTTCACAATTGCCCGATTTCTGCATAAATCTATGTTATGATTTTGTCATTCAGAAATTCTGTTTTTTGAAAAATATCGGAAATTCCGTAATTACTAATTCCGAAATCCGGAAATTCTGTTTTTGAAGAAATTCGAGTTTTTGAAATTTCAGGATTTTCGAAGTTTTCGGAACTGCTGTTTGGAATTTTTGAGAGTTTTCTTTTTTTGAATTTTTGTGACAATTTCTGAAATTCAGAAATTTCCAAGTTTTGAAATATTTTTTAAACAAATCAGAAACTAAAAAATTATGAAATTCAAAAATACAGAAGTTCGGAAATACAGAAGTTCAAATTTGAATTTTCGAATGTTATGATTTCCAAAATTACCTAATTTCTGAATAAATGGATAATGATTTTGGAATTCAGAAATTCTGTATTTTGAAGAATTTTAGAACTTCTGGGGTGTTCAGAAATTCAGAAATTCAGAAACTCGGAGTTTCTGAATTTTCAGTATTTCTAGTATTTTCTCAATTTTGGGTGCTGCTGAATTTAATGAATTTGGAAATTTTCTGAAAATCTGGAATTCCGAAACTCGAGGATTTTCTGAAAACCAGAAGTAAGAAGTTTAGAAATCCTGAAACTCGGAAATTCTAAAATTTGGAAATTCTGAAACCCAAAAATTCAAAACTCAGAAATTCAAAAATTGAATAATTCAGAAATTCCGACATTCATAAAATAAAATTTACGCATGATTTCAAATTTTTAAAATTTCTGAAAATTTTTCGAATTTCTCGAATTTTCGCTTTTTGAGATTTAACATTTTTTTTCGAATTCACAGTTTTTCAAAACCTTTAATTATCGTGAAATTTTGAGAACTTTTTAAAAACGCGCCAAACGGCACGCCAGCTTGGAATATTCATCTACTCCAATGCAACTAGAACTTTTTCAATATTTTTTGTAAAAACTCATCTCTCTACTTTTTATTCATTTGCCTCTAGCTCTGAATCTTAATTAAGGCTCTGAAAAAGTACTTTTCTCTTTTTTCTCCAATAGCATTCCGTAAACAAAAAATTTCCTTCCTTGTACTTTTAACAAAGTTCAAAAAACTTTTTTCTAGAACTTTCTTCTGACTCATTCTCACTAAAAGCTCTTCTTTTTCCTCATGTTCTCTCACGAGGCTCCGCCCACTTTTTCTTGGGGAGGAGCACCACCCCGCCTTTAGTATTCATTCGTATTCGCTTTTTTGATGGCATCGACGTCTTCGCAGAAGACGTCAGAAGACGTGGAAGATACTGAGGAGGATCTGAAAAAGTTAGTGTCTGAAAATAAAGAAGAGGAAGAAGTTGGAGAATGTAGTTCAGAAGAAGGTTCCAGGAAGTGAGTTTTGGGAATTCTGTGTATATCAAATTTATGTTTTTGGCACACACATTCTTCTTTTTTGTGATTGTCTTGGGATAAGGCCTGATAAATATGTATTTATGTATTAATTATTTTAATATGTGTTCAAAAATTGATAAAGGCAAGTCAATTTTAGTTAAATATGTACTTGTGGATGTTTCACCAATGCATGAAAATTCTCTTGAAGGGCAAGAGTATGCATTTTGACATGATAGTGATCGGTGCTCATCCAGCGCGGCTGGCTATCGGTCGACCGCCACCGTTCGCCGCTGTGCGCAACCATAGCCCTGGTAGCGGCGCGGCACCTCTAACGGTCAGCCCACAAGTTCAATTCCTCGAGGGGCTTATATGAAAAAAAAATCGATGAATTAATTGTTTTCATGCTCCCTCTCGTTGAAAGATACAAAATTCGATTTTTTTCAAAATTTTAAAAAATTTCAGAAATTCTTGAAAATTGAAACATTTCGCTGCACATGCAATTGTACCAGAATAGTTTTTTTCCGGTTTAAAAAATGTAACTGGATTTGAATATAACAAAGTTTGAGATTTTTCAACAAACTTTTGAAAAGTTAAATTCTCAAAATTGTTGCTAATTGAGCTTGGATATTTTTTAAGAATAAAGGTACTTCTGAATTTCCCAGAATTTGATGAAAAGTCTAAATTTTCAGGAATTCTCAAAAGTTAAGATTTTTTCATTATTTATTTAGAAGCATCCTAAAAAATATGCCAACATTCACAGATTCCTAACTTTGGTTAGATTTTCAAAGAACAACGCTTTTTATGAGGTTAAAGTGTACCTTCACTAATGATTAGTTTACAGAAAAATGAAAAAATTGGCTTAATTTTTATTTTTGCAAATATTTAATTATGGTGATTATGAAGCCAATTCAGTTTTCTAGGTTTGTAGAATACATTTCGTATCTTTTTTGAACGTTTTTCCCAAAATTCAGAGAATCAGGAATTCAAAGAATTGAAAATTCGAAAATTCGAAAATTCTGATATTCTAAATACAGTGGCGAATGTTAGTGAGTGTCCCTCTATACTTTTGTTCATAACTTTGCTCAAACTTGCCCAATAATCGAAACCTTTTTTGTTAAATGTAGCTGGGTTTTCAACAAAATGTTGTTTAAATTTTTTTAAACTCAATCAATTTTCTGAATCTTCACTGACGTGACGATGACTCCAGAAGACCATTTTCCGTCAAGATTTTTTTAAAGATTGGCTTTGTAATGAAAAATGTTTGGTGTAGATCAAATGTATACAAAAAAATTTGGAGCGGTTTGGAACACTTGCTCTTGAGATGTGCTCACTGGAGCATAAAAGGTATGGTTGAGGAGTTCAGCTATAAGTCGGCTCAAAACGATTCAAATTTGTTCAAATTTTGAGAGAATGTGTGTCTTTAATTGCTCTACAGATTACAAACAAAACTTACTATTTTGAGAACAATAATTATTGCTTGTTTGTTTCACTCGTTTTTGATACACAAAAATGAACAAAGTATGAAAAATTTTTTGTTCCCAAAATGCAAAGTTTTGTATGTATATTGTATAGCAATTAAAGACATTCTCTCAATATTTCACACATTCTCTCAAAATTTGAACAAAATTGAATCGTTTTGAGCCGATTTATAGCTAAACTCCTGAACCATACCTTTTATGCTCCAGTGAGCACATCTCAAGAGCAAGTGTTCCAAACTGCCTCAAATTTTTTTTCGTATACATTTGATATACACCAAACGTTTTTCATTACAAAGCCAATCTTTTAATAAATTCTGACGGAAAATTTTATTTTCTTCTGGAGTCATCGTCACGTCTGTGAAAATTCAGAAGACACAAAAATTGATTGAGTTTCAAAAAACTTATAAAACGTTTTGTTGGAAACCCAGCTACATTTAACAAAAAAGTTTTCAATGATTGGACAAGGTTGAGCAAAGTTATGAACAAAAGTATAGAGGGAAACTCATTAAAATTAGCCACTGTATCTGATACTACAAAACTTAAGAAAAAAGTCCTGAATAAAAAAACTTAATCCACAAATTTCCACATCATAATCCTTTACATTTTGCCCTCTCTTTCTGGAATCCTATTTTTTCTCTCTGAAATGTTTTTCTCTCCACTTTTCAGAACTTAATCTTCTCCTTCTATTTTTTGCACATATTCTCAAAACCCCCACCAGTCTTTCTTTTTTTTCCAATTTTCCCATTTTTTGATTTTATAAATGTTCTCCACTTGTCCCATTTGTTCCATCATGTCCATCGTTCCATTAATGTCCGTCCTGTCTCTTACTTTTTCTTCTTTGAAAAAATAGTTCGAAATTTAATCCAAATGTTTCCGACAGGGTACAAACCACTACGGGTCGAAAAAAGTTGCTTCCGCCGACGATCAGAATCGGAGTGTGTCGGTGTGTTCAATGTTCCAGTGAGAATGTCTACTGGACATGTAAGACATGTTGTCAGGTGAGATAAGTTTTGAATTTTGGCCCCATTAGAATCAGTGTAGTTTTTACCTTTGAAACTCTAAAACTCAGTTTATTGAAGTTACCATAAACAATGAAGCTACCGAAAACATGTTAATAGAATGGAGCCTCTAACTTTCTTGTTTGAGTCTCTGCTTGTGTAAGAGATGTCAAAATTTTGTCAACTCATAAAATGTTGGTGATACTATGATATACATTTTATTAGTTTACCATTTTTTGATATCTTTTATATGAGCCGAGGTAAATCGGTTGAAAGTTAAGTGGGTTATTCCAGCATTTACGGTAATTTTAACATGTAACTTTGTGCTTATTTATCTCGATTTTTTTTCAGATATCAAAAAGTAGTCAGCTGACAAAATACATATGTAACATTATATAAGTAATATTTTGTTTGTTTACTACTTCTTGATATCTTTCAAATTAATTTGTTTATTGTTCGGTGTCATAAAACATTGGAGGGTAGGACAAGAAAGACTCAGAAAAATGCCCCTCACGAGGCCGCTCTGAGTAGGGGAAGGGAAACGGGATAATTTAGATATTATACACAGGAAAGATGCAACCGGTAGAAAAGGAAAGAAAAGAAAAAAAAATAGGGGAGCAAGTATATCAATAACGGGTGATACTGGAAGAAATTAAGGATTCAAACTCGGAAGGTAGGAGAAATCGGGTAACTTGGGAAGTGATGGCGTTCCACAGGGGAACAATTGAAGAAAAATAGTCAGAGGAGTAGGGCTGAACATTAATTAAGTTCATAGGGCATTAAGTTCATAGGGCATTAAGTTCATAGGGCATTAAGTTCATAGGGCATTAAGTTCATAGGGCATTAAGTTCATAGGGCATTAAGTTCATAAATAAGCCGAGATAATTTGGATCAAAGTTGACGGTAGGAAGAACTCTATACGATTGATAGCTACACCGTCCAAATATAATCCTTTTTCAGTACACCATGTTCTGCCAAAAATGCGCTCGAAAGGCTAGACATCCTCACACGATGAAACGTTTCCGTGAAAGCGATAGAACTACGTTTCTTCTTCAAAGACATCTTCAACTCGTCTACTACAATCATATCGTGTCGTGTGAAAGAGAAATCTGTCTGGAACCGTGTCTGAGTCAAAGGGAATATCGTGTCCATTTTGATAGTTGTCCGTGTAGACCAAGAAGTATTCATGACATCATTGTGAATGGAGAGGTTCGATTTGATGGGACAGGTGAGGGTTATTTCAATTGGGTGTGGGCAGGTTTTGGGAATGTACATATTGGGCAAGCTGCACTTGAAGTTATTCTGTTTCACTATAGGGATACAGTTGTAAGCGCTGGTCTACTGAAAAAGTTTGAGCTTCATCTCAAAATCCAAAGAGCCTTCGAGCTTGGACAAATTTTGGACATGACTTTGTTAAAAATCGATTTCTTCACAGGTTTCACCCACGAGGACTGTGTCGACTGTGGTCTCTACATCACTTGTCTCTTTCTTCACGCAAACGACTGTAAGGCTGAGCAATGTCCGGCACAATGGTGTAACGAGATGCGTGAAGTGTTTGATATGGATTCCAAACAAATTTGGCAGATTTCGGACGAAATGAAAAAGAAGGTGAAGGACGTAATCATTGCGGAATGGAAGAAAGTTCGAGAACGGCAACAGGTGATACTGGTCAGGGATATTGTGGATGATCTGTTGGCTCTCACTGTTTAGTTGGACACATTTTGGACCTAATCGGAGGTAAGGAAATGAGAACTTGGGTACATTTCGATTTTTTTTAGAATTAATTTTCGAAAAGTCAGAAACTCCAGGATTTTCTAAAAATCTAAGAAAATTCTGGAAACTTAAAAACATTTGAAAAGCTATGTATTAAAATTATCTAAATTCCCGCCGTAATTTGAAATTTCTCAGAAATTCTCACAAAATACAACTTTCGTATTTTTTTTCAATTTTAATTTTTCCAGGAAGCAACTCATCTCAGGAATATCATTTCTTTTCTTTTTATTTTCTATTTTCCGTTTTCCCCATAACTGTCATCTAGTGTTGTACAGCCCCTGCTCTAACCCCACCTTATTTTTCCATGACCTCCCGGTGTATTTTGTTATACTTTACTGAAAAATTAGGATTACGGTACTTCCTGCGGATCTAACTAATCTACCGTAATCCTAATTTTCTCCTCCACTAACATTCTCATACCTCGAAGATTCAACTCTCATATGTACTGTACCCTATGGAGCCTGTATTTCCCAGTTAATCCCCGCTAATTGAGGTTGTCTTCTTCTTTTTTATATAAAGCTGTGGTATTTTCAAGATTACTGTAGATAACTACAGTAATCTCAGAAAATATGCTTCAGCTTTAAACTCAGGAATTAGTTTTAGTTTTTTTGTCAGTCGCAAACACGCTCTATCGGACGCACTAAAAGTTTTGAAGTGCTGTGGAGCGCGTTTGCAAACAAACCCCATACTATTCAATGACCAAGATTTTTTTGCCCCAATTTTCTTTTTTATACCACATGCGCCAAACTCAGTGTCCCGCCCGGTCAGGTATGGCTAAAAGTGTCAAAATCATAAGAATCGAAAATTTCGAGAAAATTGTGATGGAGATTTCGCTTTTTCTACCTGACCACTTTTTTTAGCATTCAGAGAACTGTTTTTCGGAAAATCGTATTTGTTTCGAAATTTTGAAATTTCGATTTTCATAATTTCCAACTTTTTGGATTTCTGAAAACTAAAATTTCCTGAAAATCGTTTTCTGTTAACTTTTCTTTTCAGTGCGTTCATGCTAGTTTTCCTCTATTTTTTTCAATAAAATTTAATTTTTGTAGCATGAATTTTGAATTTCTACCTCTAACATTAACCCAATTAATTTTATCCATCATCCCGAAAAAATTCAAAAAAATTCAAAAAAAAAAAAATCTTCTAGCAGATCATGACTATTTTGTTTATTTCCCCATTTTCTGTTTTTCCCATTTTCTTCCTACTTCTTATATTTTATTCTTTAAATTAGATTTTCAACCGTTTTGTCTTTTTTGAAATATGAATGTTGTGATATTTACCCATCCCAATTTCTTTCTTCTTTCCTTATTTTTTTTCTGAAAGTCTTACCCCAAAAAATTTTTTCTGAACCTTTTTAAATTATACCAGTCGGTTTGAGCCCCCTGCCGGGGGCTTAACCTCCTGGGTTTTGTTTACTTTATCTTACATTTGAATTCCTAATTTCAGAAATTCCCACTTTCCGTGTGTACGAAATTTCCGAGTTTCTTTATTTTCAAAAGTTATATTTTCCGCGATATCGGAATTTTTGAATACCGTACTTTCTCGAATAGATGCCCACATATAGAATTTCTTGTTTTTTCTAGAATGTTCCTGGATTTTCTGATTACTGATTTTTAGGGTTTCTGAAATTCAGATATTCAAAAAAAACCCACACACAGCCCTACTTCTAAGCCTTTGGTTTCAGATCACCTTGAAAAAATAGGGAAGTGATTACAATACCTGTATACTTATAGAGAACGCTTCACCTTTTTTTCAGGCAAAACGTTTGGAGGGTACAACAATTCGGGGGTACAAAGGGGTACAAAAAAAAAAAATGATTTAGGGGTACAGAACTCACAGTTTGGGAGTACAAAACTGACCCTTTTTCAGTATTTTGTACCCCCGAATAGCGGATTTTTTACCCCTTAAATTGCTAGAATGTTCTGAAATTTTCTGGAATATACTGGAATTTTCTAGAATGTTCTGGATCTTTCTGGAACTTACTGGAATTTTCTAGAATGTTCTAGATCTTTCTGGAATTTACTCGAATTTTCTAGAATGTTCTGGAATTTACTGGAATTTTCTAGAATGTTCTGGAATTTTCTGGAATTTTCTAGAATGTTCTGGATCTTTCTGGAATTTACTGGAATTTTCTAGAATGTTCTGGAATTTTCTGGAATTTTCTAGAATGTTCTGGATCTTTCTGGAATTTTCTGGAATTTTCTAGAATGTTCTGGATCTTTCTGGAATTTACTGGAATTTTCTAGAATGTTCTGGATCTTTCTGGAGTTTACTCGAATTTTCTAGAATGTTCTGGATCTTTCTGGAATTTTCTGGAATTTACTGGAATTTACTGGAATTTTCTAGAATGTTCTGAATTTTTCTGGAATTTACTCGAATTTTCTAGAATGTTCTGGATCTGTCTGGAATTTTCTGGAATTTTCTAAAATGTTCTGAATCTTTCTGGAATTTTCTAGAATGTTCTGGATCTTTCTGGAATTTTCTGGAATTTTCTGAAATTTACTGGAATTTACTGGAATTTTCTAGAATGTTCTGGAACTTTCTGGAATTTTCTGGAATTTTCTGGAATTTACTGGAATTTTCTAGAATGTTCTGGATCTTTCTGGAATTTTCTGGAATTTTCTAAAATGTTCTGGATCTTTCTGGAACTTTCTAGAATGTTCTGGAACTTTCTGGAATTTTCTGGAATTTACTGGAATTTACTGGAATTTTCTAGAATGTTCTGAATCTTTCTGGAATTTTCTGGAATTTACTGGAATTTACTGGAATTTTCTAGAATGTTCTGAATTTTTCTGGAATTTACTCGAATTTTCTAGAATGTTCTGGATCTGTCTGGAATTTTCTGGAATTTTCTAAAATGTTCTGAATCTTTCTGGAATTTTCTAGAATGTTCTGGATCTTTCTGGAATTTTCTGGAATTTTCTGAAATTTACTGGAATTTACTGGAATTTTCTAGAATGTTCTGGAACTTTCTGGAATTTTCTGGAATTTTCTGGAATTTACTGGAATTTTCTAGAATGTTCTGGATCTTTCTGGAATTTTCTGGAATTTTCTAAAATGTTCTGGATCTTTCTGGAACTTTCTAGAATGTTCTGGAACTTTCTGGAATTTTCTGGAATTTTCTGGAATTTACTGGAATTTTCTAGAATGTTCTGAATTTTTCTGGAATTTACTCGAACTTTCTAGAATGTTCTGGAACTTTCTGAACATTTTAGAA